CTATGTGGCCAAGCAGATCATCAAACTGATCTGTTCCGTGGGCAATGTTGTGAACAACGATCCCATTGTCGGAGACAAGCTGAAGGTCATCTATTTGGAGAACTATCGCGTGACGCTCGCCGAGAAGATCATGCCCGCTGCGGATCTGTCCGAGCAGATCTCTACCGCCGGCACAGAGGCCTCCGGCACTGGCAACATGAAGTTCCAGCTGAACGGCGCCCTCACCATCGGCACGCTGGACGGTGCCAATGTGGAGATGGCCGAGGAGATGGGAATGGATAACATTTTCATTTTTGGCATGACCGTCGAGGGGGTGGAGGCCCTCAAGAAGAAGGGCTACAATGCCTACGACTATTACAATGCCAATGCTGAGCTCAAGCAGGTGATCGATCAGATCCAGGGCGGTTTCTTCAGCCCCGGCAATCCCAATGAGTTCAAGAACATTGCCGATATTCTGCTCAAATACGATCACTACTACTCGCTGGCCGATTTCGATGCGTACCTGAAGGCACAGGATCTGGTGTCCAAGACCTACCAGGTAAATATTCATAGCTAATAATTTGCCTGTAACTCTCTTTCTAAACTCTATTTGTCTCTCTGTGCGTGTGCAGAACCAAGCTAAATGGCTGGAGATGGCTATCCATAATATTGCGTCCAGTGGCAAATTCTCATCGGATCGTACCATCGCCGAGTATGCACGCGAGATTTGGGGCGTGGAGCCCACCTGGGAGAAGCTGCCGGCTCCCGAGGATCAGTAAAATAAATCAATTAACATTTTGCATATTATGTTAATATTGATTAACTTTACTTTTTGTTAAAGTCAAAGTCTAAAAATTTTAGGAGCCAAAAAGCAACACCAACTAAAGCTAACCCTTGGGCCGCTCAGTGCCCACAAAACCCCGAATTGTTAATATTTTATTTAATAAAAATCCAATATAAACTATTAAAAAAACGCTCTCTAATCTAAATGGAAGTAAAGCCGCTTTACTATGGAAACGAATCACAGGAGCAGCGACTGGCCCTGGCCTCAAACCAAATAAAACACCTCAGGAAAACTTTCAAAGTTAAAAAATTATTAAAGAAAATAAATAGCAAAAGAAATACCAAAACAAAGAAGTTGAATAACCCAACAAAATATAGTCGAACGCTTTCGTCTAGTAATCGGATATGCGTGTTTTAAAAATGAGATCAAAACTCAAAAATGTTAAATGTAAAAACTAATTTAAATTTAATAAAATTTGATTCGATACAAAGGACACAGCTGACCATGTTGAATATTTCCAGATTTTAGTGGGGTTTGGGGTGTAGCTACTGCAACTGAAGGACCTCAAGGAATGAGCCTCATCCAATGCTGTGATAATCCAAGCTACAGTTAATTTCAATAGGTACATATGTGTGTATATACCAAAATATAATGGGACGCTTTTCGGACAATTTAGAAATCGCTTTCAAAAGTTAACGGAAAATGATACTACCGATTCCAGGCAAGCGTAGGAACGGGATCATGTCAATGGTCTCGTTGGGATTCATGCTGAAATAATAAAGTTAGCATAAGTAAATTCCACAGGTAGAATTTTACTTGAAAGAACTCACTCTGTGTCGCTCGCGTCTTGGTACCCATATAAAAAATATTATTACAATTCAAATTTTGGGTTTTCCTATTGTTCAATTAAACGGGCTCGACGTTTTACGGTGCTTCTCAAGTTGTATCGATGGTAGGGAGCTACGATCTGTGAAGGAGGCTCTGGTGGCTTATCAGTCAACAGTCGATGGTTGACTTCCGGCACAGCAGGAAGAGCAGGAGCACGTTGAGCTCGCCTGGGCATAAACACCTTAATTAAATAAGGAGCAACATCATCGAAAACAGAAGAGTTGCTCCCAGCTCTAGAGTGGTGCGGTGCTCCTGTGCCATAGTTACGACCATTTCGGCGTAGTTCCACAGCGTCATTTCCGGTGCTGGCTCGGGGTTTGACTTGCCCCCAGTAAGCATTGAACTCAATTTATTAATCATCTGGAATATTTGATTTAATTTTAAATTTCTATTTTTATTTCTTTACGACATACCTTTAGTCACCTGAAGTTGTTTATTTTGTTTTTTTTGGAGATGTTTCTACAACACCAACTTGTTTTGTATTGAATAAATGTTTTTGGTTTGTGTTCTGAAGCTGTAGAAGTTTTAGTGCACGACTGCTTTTCGGAGCTGGTTTTGTTTTTTGATTTGAAAATGGAAAGGAAATGTGGGATACAATATTTAAATAAAAAAATGTATGAAAGTATTCTGCAGTCCCTCCATCTTTGAAAACAAGTGAAAATCAGCATAAAATATTGGCTTAAAGACTATCTGGGCATCTTATATATAAGACAATTTAAAAGAAATAAAATATATATAATTTGTTGGAAATGAATTTAATATTTAGAATATGAATGTCATTTAATTTGAATCTGTCATTTAATTTGAATACACAAATATTTCATTTAAATCTGAAATATGTTTAAATTTAAATGCAAACATTTTTTTCCCACAATTGCCGCATCTACGAAAATCTATTAAATATAGTTTAAATCAAATATTTAATTTAAATATTAAAATATATGACAGTTCAAATTTTGGATTTTCTTATTGGGCAAACGGGCTAAACGGGGTCCGCGGGCTCCGCGGGCTCGACGTTTCTTTATGTTCTGTTGAGGAGGCTCTGATGGTTCATCGGGAGGAGCAGGAGCACGTTGAGCTTTCCTGGGCATAAACACCTTAATACAAATAAGGATCGATATCAGCATAAATGCTCCCAGTGCCAGATCGGTGCGGTGCTCCTGTGCCATACCCATAGCCTGTGTCCACAGCGTCATTTCCGGTGCTGGCTCGGGTTTTGACTTGCCCCAAGTAAACATTGAACTCAATTTATTAATCATCTGGAATATTTGATTTAATTTTAAATTTCTATTTTTATTTCTTTACGACATACCTTTAGTCACCTGAAGTAGTTATTTTATTTTATTTTTTTTGGGAGATGTTTCTACAACTCCACCTTGTCTCGATTGACTAACTGTTTTTGGCATGTGTTCTGAAGCTGTAGAAGTTTAAGTGCACGACTGCTTTTCGGAGCTGGTTTTGTTTTTTGATTTGAAAATGGAAAGGAAATGTGGGATCCATGTATGTAGGTATCACTTTTTAGCCAATGTTTAAATATTCTCTAGCATATACAAATCTGGTGTCACGGTGATTGTTTGAACTCCCCCCAAACAGCTCGACCAATTTTCGATGACATATTTTGACACTCGCAGAGAAACGACAACGCCAACAACTACATCGAGAATTCACAACAGCTTCGTTCCTCCGTCTCGCATTCGAGTACGAGCCAGATTGTAAATATTACGCTCATCCGAAAGTACTGTTCCAGATGTAATATTCATTTTTCCCTCTTCCTGAATGTCTGGTTGAAGACGATGGCTGGATGATTTTCTCTTGATTAAAGACTTCTTCTGGGCTTCTTCTTCGGCGTTTCTTGGATTGTGGCTTGGTTTGCGATTCGTTGGTTTCGTTCGTTGTAGCAGATTTCGTTTCTGATGATTTTGTTGATTTTTTTTGATGATTTCGTTGTTTTTTTGTTTGTTTGCTGATGTTTGTGTTATATTTGGCAGTAAAAGTTTGCTTTCCTTATGATTTTTAATCATCTTCCTAAAGTTGCACTTCCTCTGGCCTTAAATTTTGTCATCTTTTGTGGTCCCAATTGTGTCGTCGTCGGTGTGTTATCGACGGGCGCCTTAGAAACTTCCATTGGTCCATGGGATTTACAGATTTACAGTCTTAAATCGTAAACTACTAAAACTATTTAACAACTATACAATACAACTACATATAAAATAAGCATCAAAGTACCAAAAGTAACAATTGGACTGCCTGCAAAGAGAAGAGAAAGCTGCATTATCTTCCTCCTCATCTGTGCCAATCAGAAGATCAACTGGAATCAGGTCCCATCTTCTGGAACAACTGCAAAATCGAACACAAATAAATTCTGAGCTGAATCCTGCTGAGCGGAAACACAACTGGAAGCTGAAAGCTGGAAAATGAGTTGGAAAAAAACAAAACTAGCTCCGAAAAGCAGTCGTGCACTTAAACTTCTACAGCTTCAGAGCACATGCCAAAAACATTTATTCAATACAAAACAAGTTGGAGTTGTAGAAACATCTCCAAAAAAAAATAAAATAAACAACTTCAGGTGACTAAAGGTATGTCGTAAAGAAATAAAAATAGAAATTTAAAATTAAATCAAATATTCCAGATGATTAATAAATTGAGTTCAATGTTTACTTGGGGCAAGTCAAAACCCGAGCCAGCACCGGAAATGACGCTGTGGACACAGGCTATGGGTATGGCACAGGAGCACCGCAACGATATGGCACTGGGAGCAATTGTGCTCTTATCGATCCTTATTTTGATTAAGGTGTTCATGACCAGGAAAGCTCAACGTGCTCCTGCTCCTCCCGATGAACCATCAGAGCCTCCTCAACAGAACATAAAGAAACGTCGAGCCCGCGGACCCCGTTTAGCCCGTTTGCCCAATAAGAAAATCCAAAATTTGAACTGTCATATATTTTAATATTTAAATTAAATATTTGATTTAAACTATATTTATTAGATTTTCGTAGATAGTGGCAATTGTGCGAAAAAAATGTTTGCATTTAAATTTAAACATATTTCAGATTTAAATGAAATATTTGTGTATTCAAATTAAATGAGAGATTCAAATTAAATGACATTCATATTCTAAATATTAAATTCATTTCCAACAAATTATATATATTTTATTTCTTTTAAATTGTCTTATATATAAGATGCCCAGATAGTCTTTAAGCCAATATTTTATGCTGATTTTCACTTGTTTTCAAAGATGGAGGGACTGCAGAATACTTTCATACATTTTTGTATTTAAATATTGTATCCCACATTTTGTTTCCATTTTCAAATCAAAAAACAAAACCAGCTCCGAAAAGCAGTCGTGCACTAAAACTTCTACAGCTTCAGAACACAAACCAAAAACATTTATTCAATACAAAACAAGTTGGAGTTGTAGAAACATCTCCAAAAAAAACAAAATAAACAACTTCAGGTGACTAAAGGTATGTCGTAAAGAAATAAAAATATAAATTTAAAATTAAATCAAATATTCCAGATGATTAATAAATTGAGTTCAATGTTTACTTGGGGCAAGTCAAAACCCGAGCCAGCACCGGAAATGACGCTGTGGACACAGGCTATGGGTATGGCACAGGAGCACCGCAACGATATGGCACTGGGAGCAATTGTGCTCTTATCGATCCTTATTTTGATTAAGGTGTTCATGACCAGGAAAGCTCAACGTGCTCCTGCTCCTCCCGATGAACCATCAGAGCCTCCTCAACAGAACATAAAGAAACGTCGAGCCCGCGGACCCCGTTTAGCCCGTTTGCCCAATAAGAAAATCCAAAATTTGAACTGTCATATATTTTAATATTTAAATTAAATATTTGATTTAAACTATATTTATTAGATTTTCGTAGATAGTGGCAATTGTGCGAAAAAAATGTTTGCATTTAAATTTAAACATATTTCAGATTTAAATGAAATATTTGTGTATTCAAATTAAATGAGAGATTCAAATTAAATGACATTCATATTCTAAATATTAAATTCATTTCCAACAAATTATATATATTTTATTTCTTTTAAATTGTCTTATATATAAGATGCCCAGATAGTCTTTAAGCCAATATTTTATGCTGATTTTCACTTGTTTTCAAAGATGGAGGAACTGCAGAATACTTTCATACATTTTTGTATTTAAATATTGTATCCCACATTTCGTTTCCATTTTCAAATCAAACAACAAAACCAGCTCCGAAAAGCAGTCGTGCACTAAAACTTCTACAGCTTCAGAACACAAACCAAAAACATTTATTCAATACAAAACAAGTTGGAGTTGTAGAAACATCTCCAAAAAAAACAAAATAAACAACTTCAGGTGACTAAAGGTATGTCGTAAAGAAATAAAAATATAAATTTAAAATTAAATCAAATATTCCAGATGATTAATAAATTGAGTTCAATGTTTACTTGGGGCAAGTCAAAACCCGAGCCAGCACCGGAAATGACGCTGTGGACACAGGCTATGGGTATGGCACAGGAGCACCGCGCCGATCTGGGACTGGGAGCATTTGTGCTTATATCGATCCTTATTTGTATTTGTATTATTTGTATTATTGCTCCTGCTCCTCCCGATGAACCATCAGAGCCTCCTCAACAGAACATAAAGAAACGTCGAGCCCGCGGAGCCCGCGGACCCCGTTTAGCCCGTTTGCCCAATAAGAAAATCCAAAATTTGAACTGTCATATATTTTAATATTTAAATTAAATATTTGATTTAAACTATATTTAATAGATTTTCGTAGATGCGGCAATTGTGGGAAAAAAATGTTTGCATTTAAATTTAAACATATTTCAGATTTAAATGAAATATTTGTGTATTCAAATTAAATGACAGATTCAAATTAAATGACATTCATATTCTAAATATTAAATTCATTTCCAACAAATTATATATATTTTATTTCTTTTAAATTGTCTTATATATAAGATGCCCAGATAGTCTTTAAGCCAATATTTTATGCTGATTTTCACTTGTTTTCAAAGATGGAGGAACTGCAGAATACTTTCATACATTTTTGTATTTAAATATTGTATCCCACATTTCGTTTCCATTTTCAAATCAAACAACAAAACCAGCTCCAAAAGCAGTCGTGCACTAAAACTTCTACAGCTTCAGAACACAAACCAAAAACATTTATTCAATACAAAACAAGTTGGAGTTGTAGAAACATCTCCAAAAAAAACAAAATAAACAACTTCAGGTGACTAAAGGTATGTCGTAAAGAAATAAAAATATAAATTTAAAATTAAATCAAATATTCCAGATGACTAAGAAATTGAGGTCAATGTTTACTTGGCGCAAGTCAAAACCCGAGCCAGCACCGGAAATGACGCTGTGGAACTACGCCGAAATGGTCGTAACTATGGCACAGGAGCACCGCACCACTCTAGAGCTGGGAGCAACTCTTCTGTTTTCGATGATGTTGCTCCTTATTTTAATTAAGGTGTTTATGCCCAGGCGAGCTCAACGTGCTCCTGCTCTTCCTGCTGTGCCGGAAGTCAACCATCGACTGTTGACTGATAAGCCACCAGAGCCTCCTTCACAGATCGTAGCTCCCTACCATCGATACAACTTGAGAAGCACCGTAAAACGTCGAGCCCGTTTAATTGAACAATAGGAAAACCCAAAATTTGAATTGTAATAATATTTTTTATATGGGTACCAAGACGCGAGCGACACAGAGTGAGTTCTTTCAAGTAAAATTCTACCTGTGGAATTTACTTATGCTAACTTTATTATTTCAGCATGAATCCCAACGAGACCATTGACATGATCCCGTTCCTACGCTTGCCTGGAATCGGTAGTATCATTTTCCGTTAACTTTTGAAAGCGATTTCTAAATTGTCCGAAAAGCGTCCCATTATATTTTGGTATATACACACATATTCACCTATTGAAATTAACTGTAGCTTGGATTATCACAGCATTGGATGAGGCTCATTCCTTGAGGTCCTTCAGTTGCAGTAGCTACACCCCAAACCCCACTAAAATCTGGAAATATTCAACATGGTCAGCTGTGTCCTTTGTATCGAATCAAATTTTATTAAATTTAAATTAGTTTTTACATTTAACATTTTTGAGTTTTGATCTCATTTTTAAAACACGCATATCCGATTACTAGACGAAAGCGTTCGACTATATTTTGTTGGGTTATTCAACTTCTTTGTTTTGGTATTTCTTTTGCTATTTATTTTCTTTAATAATTTTTTAACTTTGAAAGTTTTCCTGAGGTGTTTTATTTGGTTTGAGGCCAGGGCCAGTCGCTGCTCCTGTGATTCGTTTCCATAGTAAAGCGGCTTTACTTCCATTTAGATTAGAGAGCGTTTTTTTAATAGTTTATATTGGATTTTTATTAAATAAAATATTAACAATTCGGCGTTTTGTGGGCACTGAGCGGCCCAAGGGTTAGCTTTAGTTGGTGTTGCTTTTTGGCTCCTAAAATTTTTAGACTTTGACTTTAACAAAAAGTAAAGTTAATCAATATTAACATAATATGCAAAATGTTAATTGATTTATTTTACTGATCCTCGGGAGCCGGCAGCTTCTCCCAGGTGGGCTCCACGCCCCAAATCTCGCGTGCATACTCGGCGATGGTACGATCCGATGAGAATTTGCCACTGGACGCAATATTATGGATAGCCATCTCCAGCCATTTAGCTTGGTTCTGCACACGCACAGAGAGACAAATAGAGTTTAGAAAGAGAGTTTCAGGGAAAAAAATTAGCTATGAATATTTACCTGGTAGGTCTTGGACACCAGATCCTGTGCCTTCAGGTACGCATCGAAATCGGCCAGCGAGTAGTAGTGATCGTATTTGAGCAGAATATCGGCAATGTTCTTGAACTCATTGGGATTGCCGGGGCTGAAGAAACCGCCCTGGATCTGATCGATCACCTGCTTGAGCTCAGCATTGGCATTGTAATAGTCGTAGGCATTGTAGCCCTTCTTCTTGAGGGCCTCCACCCCCTCGACGGTCATGCCAAAAATGAAAATGTTATCCATTCCCATCTCCTCGGCCATCTCCACATTGGCACCGTCCAGCGTGCCGATGGTGAGGGCGCCGTTCAGCTGGAACTTCATGTTGCCAGTGCCGGAGGCCTCTGTGCCGGCGGTAGAGGTCTGCTCGGACAGATCCGCAGCGGGCATGATCTTCTCGGCGAGCGTCACGCGATAGTTCTCCAAGATAGATGACCTTCAGCTTGTCTCCGACAATGGGATCGTTGTTCACAACATTGCCCACGGAACAGATCAGTTTGATGATCTGCTTGGCCACATAGTAGCCGGGTGCGGCCTTGCCACCGATCATGATGGTCCTCGGCGTGAAACTGGCTGTGGGATCCTTCTTGATGCGATTGTACAGGGTAATGATGTGCAGGCAGTTGAGCAGCTGGCGCTTGTACTCGTGGATGCGCTTCACCTGGATATCGAACATCGAAGAGGGATTGATCTTTACGCCATAGTCAGCCTCCAGTAAGGTGGCTAGCTTCAGCTTGTTCTCCTGCTTCACGCGTGCGATATTACGCTGGAAGTTGGGATCCTTGGCCCACTTCTTCAGGGCCACCAACTGATCCAGATGCACGGGCCACTCGTCACCGATCTTCTCGGCAATCAGATCGGACAGACCCGGATTGCACAGCAACAGCCAGCGGCGTGGCGTGATGCCATTGGTCTTGTTCTGGAACTTGCTGGGATCCATTTCGTAAAAGTCATGGAAGAGCGAATCCTTCAGGATCTGCGAGTGAATGGCAGCCACACCGTTGACAGCATGACAGCCCACAATCGACAGATGGGCCATATTGACGCGCTTATCGCCATCCTCCTCCACGAGCGACATGCGACGCATGCGATCCAGATCGGTGGGGAACTTCTTCTTCACATTCTCCATATGCAGGAAATTAATGTGATAGATGATCTGCAGATGACGGGGCAGAATCGACTCCAGCAGGGACACGGGCCAGCGCTCCAAAGCCTCGGGCAGCACCGTGTGATTGGTGTAGGCACAGGTGCGGGTGGTAATATCCCATGCCTTCTCCCAGGTCAGATGCTCCTCATCGATGAGGATGCGCATCAGCTCAGGTATGGCCAACGATGGATGGGTATCGTTCAGCTGGACTGCCACCTTATCGGGGAAGTGATCAAAGGAGTTGCGCACCGCCTCCCGGGAACCAAACTTCGAGGCCTTGTAGCGACGAATGATGTCCTGGAGAGTGGCGGCGCACATGAAGTACTCCTGCTTCAGACGCAGCTCCTTGCCCTCAAAGAAGTTGTCGTTGGGGTACAGCACACGCGAGATATTCTCGGCCAAATTACGATCCAGCACGGCCTGAATGTAGTCACCATCGTTGACTGTAATCCGAGAGATGAGAGATCACTCAATAGGAGTATGGGTGGGAGGGAATATCAGTATTTGATACTTACAGAACTTCAGGTTGAAGTCAATTGGGGCCTTGGCCGACCACAGACGCAGCGTGTTCACATGATTGTTGGCATAGCCGGGAATGGGATTGTCATAGGGCATGGCATACACCTTCTGGGTATCCACCCACTTCTTGCCCTCGGGCGTATCGATCACACGGCCATAAAAATGAACCGGCAGCATGAATTCGGGACGTGCCTTCTCCCATGGGTTGCCATAACGCAGCCAATCGTCGGGCGTCTCCACCTGCTCACCGTTCTGGATCTTTTGGGCAAAGATACCGTACTCATAACGGATGCCATAGCCATAAGCGGCCAGGCCCAGAGTAGCCATCGAGTCGAGGAAGCAGGCGGCCAAACGACCAAGACCACCATTGCCCAGACCGGCATCCTCCTCCATCTCCTCGAGATTCTCAATGTCCAGTCCAATCTGGTACATGGCCTCCTCGCACTCGCTCTGGATGCCCAGATTGATCATGGTGTTGGTGAGGGAGCGACCCATGTAGTACTCCAGCGAGAGGTAGTACACACGCTGAAAGAAATTAACAACCATATTCAAGGGATTATTATTAAATAAATTGGGACTGGGGAAAATAATTCTATAATACGGTTACAGGATTGAAAAAATCCTCATGGATTATTAGCATTATTTAATACTAATTTAATAGTCTTTAAGTCAATATTTTATGATAATTTTCACTTGTTTTCAAAGATTGAGGGACTGCAGAATACTTTGATACATTTTTTTAAATATTTTATTCCACATTTCGTTTCCATTTTTTTAAACCAAAAAAAAAAAAAACAAAACCAGCTCCGAAAAGCAGTCGTGCACTTAAACTTCTACAGCTTCAGAGCACCTGCCAAAAACATTTATTCAATCAAGAAAAGTTGGAGTTGTAGAAACATCTCCCAAAAAAAAAAAATAAAATAACTACTTCAGTCACCTGAAGGTATGTCGTAAAGAAATAAAAATATAAATTTAAAATTAAATCAAATATTCCAGATGACTAATAAATTGAAATCAATGTTTTCTTGGCGCAAGTCAAAACCCGAGGCAGCACCGGAAATGACGCTGTGGACACAGGCTATGGGTATGGCACAGGAGCACCGCAACGATATGGCACTGGGAGCAATTGTGCTGTTATCGATCTTTATTTTGATTAAGGTGTTCATGACCAGGAAAGCTCAACGTGCTCCTGCTCCTCCCGATGAACCATCAGAGCCTCCTCAACAGAACATAAAGAAACGTCGAGCCCGCGGAGCCCGCGGAGCCCGTTTGAGTGCCCAATAAGCAAATCCAAAATTTGAACTGTCATATATTTTAATATTTAAATTAAATATTTGATTTAAACTATATTTAATAGATTTTCGTAGATAGCGGCAATTGTGCGAAAAAAATATTTGCATTTAAATTTAAACATATTTCAGATTTAAATGAAATATTTGTGTAATCAAATTAAATGACAGATTCAAATTAAATGACATTCATATTCTAAATATTAAATTCATTTCCAACAAATTATATATATTTTATTTATTTTAAATTGTCTTATATATAGATTCAATTTTAAATAAAATGATTTTAACATGCCCTTTTCTTTCGCGAGTATAATTCTAGCAATCATAAACCTGAAACACTTCGATAAACACTCAAAAATAAACCCAACCATAAATTATGTACCCTCTTTAGTGAATTAAAGAGCGTATCTTTAAAGAATTTAAGAGAAAAGTTTAAAGAGTTTAAACGAGAAAGGGAGAGAGAGAGAGAGATAGTTGGCTTTAGATGATCATTCCAAACAAAGCAGAAACCGGTTTTGTTTTGCCCGTGAATTATTATTCGCCAAGTGCAAGGTTCCATTACGCCTTAGCCCAGGCTCAACTGTACAGCATGCACCCGTACAGCTATATGCACATTGCCACCTGATAAGGAATCGTATCGATCGATCGATCGGAGACTCAGTTGGTGTGGGTGCCGGTGCCGGTATGCCAGATGTTTACCCCACAAGGTCACCCAGTGCTCTCCAAACGAACATTGCCATTATCAATAACTGGAATCGTTTGCTAATTTCAGGGCAGCCTTAGTGGAAACTATTAATAGAGGTTATATTCCATTGGGTTAGCGATTCGATCCGATTCTTATCGGTTGCCCGCTGATTGCCGTAATGTTACAAGGGCATTGGATTGTTTGTAGCAACAGTTATCAGGGGGAAGTGCACTTTGTATGATTGAATGCACAGCATGAATCAAATGAATCGGAATGGAATGTGAATCTATCTGCTGCACCCATCTCTGGTCAATGCTAGGGTTATGATGATCAGCTTCATCATCGTTGGCAGTGTCGCCACTTAAAGGCACTAATCCCCAAGCTCCAAGGTATGCGACTATGCGGCGAACATTCCCTTATCAGCGGCTAATATGTAAACTATGCCCTAAAAAAGCGCATACCCCAGGCGCATGCTGGCCTGTTGCTGCCTGCCCCACATCTAATTAGTCTGAGATTTGTTTGAGGGATCTTGTTTGTGCATAATACTCGTAGCACGTCTAGGTGAAACGGAGGTTAAAGGGTTGAGATTTATGATAAGAAAACATTTCGCAAAACATTTAGACAAGTTACCTATAGATTTTGGGGTGTGGGGTACAAGGTACAAAGAAGTAA